CTATTAAGTCTAATAAGATGGAACTCCATCAACAAACACATTGAACTCAACCCGATTTACAAACCACTGAAAAACAGAACCAGAAGTGATGCCAACCACGCCAGCAAACTAAAGCATATAAATAACAAGCAGGACAGAAAACCAACACTTCACCGGAAGCACACTGACGATGTTACCCAGCAGGGTGACGAAACATCTGAAGTCACACACACTGGCTCGGTGAGCAAGTCTACAATTTTCCACAATGCCAGGTAAATGCTAGTGTTTTAGTTGTACTGGAACATGTTGACTAAGAACTTGGTAAATTCTGCAGCAAACGTCTTCAATGCTATGGCCAGGATATTGTCAGACTCCATAGCCTTTGTAGTACCAATGTCTTCAGCATTTCTTGAAATCAAACGGAGTTGATGAAATTTGCTGAAGTCTAGCATCTGTGATGCTTGGGACTTCTGAAGGAGACTAAGATGATCATCTACATGGTACTTCTGGCGAAAGTGGTTGCAGTTACTTCAGCACTGTATTTTGTATTGATATGCTGGGCTCCATATCGTTGAGGATGGAAATATTTGTGGACCCTGTTCCTTCAGTTCATGTTTATTTGTCTACTACCACTCACAATTGGATGTAGCAGGACTGCAGAGCAAATATCTGATCAACAAATTGTGGGATTGTTCAGCTCCTTCTATTGTATGCTGCTTCTATTGTTTGTCCTGCAATAGTCCTGTACCGTAATTCACCAGGTTGACATCTTATTCTTTGGTATGCTTTAAAGCTGTTTCTCATAAGCATTATTCATTGAACTATGCTTGATCCCCTGGTTTGATACTAATGTTAGAGTGGGAGGTATGTCGGGCCATGAGATCCTAGACTATGGTTGAGTACAACTGTGCTGCTGCTGATGGCCCACAACCACCTAACTGATTTTTCTGAAGAACGGTCCAGACCTGAAATGTCAGCTTTCCTACTCCTCTGATGCTGCTTGGCCTGCTGTGTTCATCCAGCTCTACACCTTGTTATCTCTTACACCTAACTGATGGCCAGTTTTGAGTTTCTAGATCTGTTCACATTCTATCTCATTTGGTATGGTGATAGAGCCACTGAGGGAATCCTTACTCTGAAGACAGGACTTCATCTCCACAATGGCTGTGCAGTAGTCACTCCTGCCAGTACCTTCAGGGACATATGTATTTGCAACAGTTAGATCGCTAAGGAAGAGTTAAAGAGATTTTTCCCTCTTGTTGGTTCCCTCATTACATGTTGCAGAACAAGTCTAGCAGTTACGTCTATCAGATGTCAACCATCTCGGTCAGTTGTAGTGCTACAAAGTCGCTTATCATGATGGACTTTGAAACCACCCAGAGTACCCTTTGAGCCTTTGTCGCCCTTTGTGTCTTTTTAAAATTATTCTTGTTCAATGCAAAGCTGACCTATCAGCTGAAGAGGTGAAATAACTGATAGTCAGCAAATTTAAGCATGATACCATGAGACTTCATTGGGACTGGAGTCAATTTTGAGGAGTCTTCACTCAAAACCTTCCCACTGTATACCATTGTTCTGCCACCTCTTCTAGGTCTGTCCTACCAGTAGGACAGACAATACCCAAGGATGCTAGTGGTGTTGACTTAGAGTTGGTGTATAAAGTGTGATTCACTGAGCTTTTTTTAAAACATTCTTCATGGGATGTGGATATTGCTAGCTAGGATGCTATTTACTTCCAATCTTAATAGCTTTTGAATCATAGAATCCCTACAGTGTGGAAACAGGCCCTTCAGCCCAACAAGTATACCCAGATCAATCCCCCTATAACCCACCTAATCTACAAATCCCTGGACACTATGGGCAATTTAGCATGACCAATCCATCTCCCTGCACATCTTTGGACTGTGGGACGAAACCCACACAGACAGTCCCCCGAGGATGGAATCAAACCCGGGTTCCTGGCACTGTGAGGCAGCAGTACTAACCACTGAGCCACCATGCCATAAATTAGTAGAACAGAACTTCTATTCCCTGACCAGGAATCAAACGCGGGTCATGGTGGTGAAAGCGCCTATTCCTAACCACTAGCCCACCAGGGAAAGGGATGGGAAGGTGATGGTAAGCTGTTTATAGTATTGACTATGTCATCCTGTTGCTAACCTAGTCTGTGATACAACTCCTCAGATGTTAGCAGGGAGGGTTGACAAGGCTGCAAGTACCATTTTCAGTTCTGGTTCTTAGTTTGATGCCAGGTAATCTTTCTGGTTTCATTGCTATTTGACTTTGTAGCAGTTGACACAATTGAGTGATTTGTAAGACCATTTCAGAGGGCATTTAAGAGTGAACCCCATTGCTGTGGGTTTGGAATCACATTTAGACCAGACCAGATAAAGATGGCACATTTCCTTCTCTATAGCACATTAGTGACCAAGATAGCGTATTTTCATAACAATTGCTGATAGTTTAGCGCCATCATTGCTGAGTCAAGCTTTAAATTCAATAATTATGAATTAATTAGATTTTAATTCCACCAGCTACCATGTCAGGGTTTGGACTTCTGTACCTAGAGCATTGGCCTGAGCTCCTAGATCACTCGTCCAGTGACTTTGTCACTACACCACAGCCTCCTCCAGAATATGTCAAATGACTTGAGGTCATGATATGAATAAGCAGCAAACTGAAGAAGAGCCGTAGAAGGTTACGTTGATGTTTTAATGAATGGTTGTAACCCAACAATCAAGGTGAGAAGACTGACAATGGAAACATTACACGATGAAGACACCTTTGATGATAGATACTACAGACCAAATGATCTCTCTATTTTTCTTTATGTATTTTTCACATATTCCACAAGGAAATCACGGCGATTGGACCTTGACATTGAAGAGGATTTGCTTACATAGTAAAGTGCCTGTAAGTCACTGTTGCAAGTATAATTAAAATGCAAAAGATGTATGGCAACCAATATGGTACCAACAATTACATATAGACTACCAACAACTACATATAGACTTTAGCATGCTTAGGAGAGATTTTAGAATTTGGAAGCTGACATTGTATTGAATTCTCCAAGTTGACAGTGGCATTCTATTAAGGATGTCATAAGCAACATTAATTTAAATTCACTATTTTAGTTTTAACTTTATTTTCACATCATCAGTCTTGTTTCTTTTGCTTACTGAGTGAACAAGCCATAAGTGACAAATAGAAGTGCAGGCTAACTCGTGAATTTTGATATTAGACTTTCCATTCTGAAATCCATATTTTGTCTAAACCAGCACTTCTCAGCAACTGTTTCATAGTGGGCAATATTAAATGAACTAATTAACAGAGACTTGGACATATAATCCAGGAATAAACAATGCAACGCGCAAATATGTTGAGCACCAGTATAACAAATATATTGTAAAGTACAACAAAGGTGTGCTCAAGCACACTTACATTGCTTGGACCACATTCAGTTCTAAACCTTAACTCATCTTTCTTCTTTTTTAAGAAAATCTTCAGTACTGTATCCTCACTGATTTTTGACTGGAACTTTTCCAAGATGCTGACATTATGAAAGTTTATTGGGATAGTTCCCAGGCAGTAGTATTTATCAAGGATATTGGACAAATCCTCAATTCCTGATTTAACTCCTTGTCAAAGAACCGTTTTTACTACTAGTCTATGCCTTAAAGTTAATGATGCCTAACATTTGACATGCTCAACCATCTTGCATCAACCATTTCAAATTAACTTAGCATCTACACAACTCCACCTTCCATTAGGATACACACAAGCTACTATGTGAAATGTTCACTCTCTTTTGGCAAAGTATTAATGAAAAAGCCAGATTATATGAACATTTTAATTCCATTATTTTTGATTATGAATAGAAATGGGAAAATAACTATTTGAAAAGCAACGATTGTTGAAGGATTGCTGCACACTTAAAAGCAAATAACCTGACACTGATTGTGAGTGCCATTTACACTGCTGAGTGTTCAAGCAATGGAAGGAAGGTTTGCAGATGAGCTGGAGCAAAGGGATGTGTATGCACAGATTTCACCAGCAACAACGAGCTGATTGGTCTGTGGAATAGTGACTAGTTATTGATGACAAGGGCCTTCTACCTGTCAAAAACTCTCCCATTGACTGTCAGGTAGCTGAAAGCTTGGGGGTGTGAATGTTTAGGAGAAACCATCGGAACACCACAAGGGAAGGAGCCATCTCTTTCTCTGCGGTAAAAATCATTTTAAGTCTGAAGAAAGCCAATTTACTTTTTCCCCAACAGTTGTGTAAGTTGTGACATTTAACCAGTAAGCCAGAAACTTTATTAGTGTGATCGAGTCACCCTGTATATCCTACAAGCAAGTGCAAATATCTGGAGAATCAAGAAATAGTACATCCTGACAAGCCAAAAGGACCATCTCAATGAACCCTATGAAGAGGAACCATTGAATTGCCTTCTCATTTTCCTCTCTGCCCATCACAGCCTTTATTTTTGTTTCTCCTGTCTGTACCTATGCATGTTTATAAGGGGGCTGGAGTTTTAATACATAGAGTTATTTGTGTATCATTTTTAACTGTTTTATCTGTAGCTAGAATTATTATTCCAGATCAAACAGTCCTGCTGAACAAATTGTTTGCACTTTTAAAGTACTTAGCAGGAAATGCAGCACGACAAAATAAGATTTCTGTATTGAAGTGCTACACCAAAGAGTTAATTCTGTGGATATGGACTTACCATCCACACGAAGATCATACTTGAAAGGCAAGATTCAACAATCCTGCGATGCAATCACTTGTCCACATCCCCAGAAATACAGGACAAAGTTCTTGACAAACAAGGGAGAATGAATTTGGGTCATGGCTGAAATGCACATGCGGAACTGTCTAACTTACACATAGGATCACACATGTACCCAAAGTGAGCAGAGATCCTGTGAAGTTGCAATGACGAATTAAACAATATTGAGGAGCAACAAGCCAACTCAGGGAACTGTACAGAACTATCCATGTACAAAGTTACAGTCAGATAATGAAGGTGTAAAAAACCATTATGATTATGACCAATACTCTGATGATACTTAAGGGACCCACACACATTCAATTGAGAACACCTAATTTTGGAACCACATATGCATTATACAGACTCTTTGATGCTTAACATTGTATAATTAGCCATTTCTGGGTACAAAACTTGTATATCATTTTGAAGAAACGGCACAATTTGTCATAGCTTTTCATCTTGCATTCATTGGGACAACTTGCAAGAATACCAATGTCAAGGGGAATGACACTTTATAGTGTATGAGAAGAGAGTGCTCGTTAGTTGACAAAGCGGACATATATGTAGTGTCCAACACGTGCAGGTATGCCACACTGTGAGCCTGACTGACAATCTAAATTACTTATTACCATAACTCTTAGCATACTTCAGGATTATTTAGAAAAAACTGTCCAATTGTTGAATCACATCTCATGTTTAGAACGTAGTTTTGATTTTTGCAGGACCTGTTTCGCTGAGTATGGTCAGTACCTTGCCTGGTGTGAACAGAAAGGGGACATGATCTTTGATACAATCCGTCAGTCTTTTGGACATATGGCCTACATTCCTAGCACCACACAGACACCGATATTTGTAGGCCACATTTTACTCATTTGCATGGTGGACAGAATGTCTTTTTGCCTTATGGAAGCATCCTGTTGGTAATGAATACCATTTGTGTTCCTTTCGCACAGTATCAGCATGAAACAGCTATTTAACTGTTGCTCATGCTTTTTAGATACCTTACCCTGCCAGGATTATTTGAGGTAGACTGGGCATGTTTTTGGATCTGAAATGGTTGCCTTAGACCTAATTCAGGTGTTTGTGCAGTGTACAATAGAAATGATCTGATCAGGGTATGTTGAATTTGATTATCCCTATTTCAGCTTCAAACTTGCAAGTTGAGCAAATGGCTCGAGCCCCATTAATGAGATTGTCAATAAAGTCTGTCTTCTAGCATGTGAAAATGTAAGAGTCATAGAGATGTACAGCACAGAAACAGACCCTTTGGTCCAACTCGACCATGCTGACGAGATATCCTAAATAAATCTAGTCGCATTTGCCAGCCTCTAAACCCTTCCTATTAATATACCAATCCAGATGCCTTTTAAATATTGTAATTGGACCAGCCTCCACCACTTCTTCTGGCAGTTCATTCTGTATATGCACCATCCTCTGCAAATGAAAATGTTGCTCCCTAGGTCCCGTTTAAATCTTTCCTTTCTCACCTTAAACCTGTGCCCTCTAGTTTTGGACTCCAAGTTGTAGCAAAGATCTGTAGCTCGGGTTGTGGGTGAGGTTGTTGACTTGTTCGCTGAGCTGGCTTGTTTTCGTTCAGATGTTTCGTCACCATGCTAGGTAACATCATCAGTCAGGCCTCTGGTAAGCTATATTGTTCTACTCTGCTTGAAATGTCCAGTCCGCTATGGTGAGTAGTGTCGTTTCCGGTTTTGATCTGTATGGGTTTGTATATACACTCAGACAACGAAGGCCATCAGTTTAACTGGGACAAGGTAACCATAGTAGCCCAAGCCAAACATAGACTTGCACAGGAATTCCTAGAGGCGTGGTTCTCCACCCATAATGCAATCAACAAACATAGCTACTATGGTTACATTGTCCCAGTTAAATTGTTGTTCTGGAAGATGCTGGCTGAAGTATAGGTTGAAACAAATGTAATAGTAATTTTCTAAGTGTACATGTTTGAAAAGGAAAATTCTTATTTTATGTTTTAATTTCTAAATCAACAAAAACAGGCTGCTTCCTGCTTATTTTAATATACAGTGTCCTGGATATTTACTACCATCAGGCCATTTTTTCCTTACATAGATCAGGGAATTGGTGTTCTAAGATTGCCTGGGATTCCATTCAACCTGAACTCCAGCTATCCTCGATATATTTTCTGAGGAACAAAGGTATCAACATTGACTAGACCTACCTAAAAGAAGGGTGCTTCATTCAAATATTTACCAGGATTTTATAGTCATAATAAGGACAAAACTATTTGTGTTAACCATGTTTACTTCTCTGAAACTAACAGCCACTTATGATCCCTTTGTTTGTGCAGTTAAACAGGGAAATATCGAGGTTGCTGTAATTTCTTCAGACAAGGCACTGTTGGGTCCTCTGAATTGCAATAATATAGAAATGGCTGAACAATCAAAAACTTACCCTTTAATGCTGTTAGTCTTGGTGTAAAACCCTTGAAAGAGTTGCATCTTCTTGAATGAGGTGTAACTGGTCTTTAATAATGTACTAATTTCATTACTCACACTCTGTTAATTTTGTGAAATATCATTTTCTCCCTGTGTTAAAAATAATTAAAATTTTAAAGTAACGAAAGCAGAAGGAAGTTTATTTGATATTTTAGGGCATCTACCTCACACACATGTCCCAATCACTTATTTCATTTTCGGTAAAGCTCCAACTGGAAATGAATTACTGAGTGTATTTTACTTCCTGATCTGCTGTCTTTAATAATACTTGGAAGTGAATGGCTGTGACTATGTTTGATAACATTTATATTGCTGGATGTTTGGAGATTCCTTTGCCTCCTGATTGCAACTGATTTTGGGGAAAGGAAAATCCAACTCAGTGAGATTGTTAAATCTTTATGCGCAGCTTTCTTCAAAGCTGACTGTGAATGCCGTTGCTTTATTGCTGACATTGAGGTCCTGGCCATGAATTTAGAAGTACATTCAATGTAATTACTTACCATTCTGATACACAAGATATCAGAAATAAATCATTAAGATAGGTACACAAACTTTCTTGGTGATGGTGTACCCATAAAGGTATAAGTCAGCTCAGTTGATTGCTTTGCGATACAAAGTAACACCAACAACATGGGTTCAATTCCCGCACCAGCTTAGGTTATCATGAAGGACCGTCTATCTCAATCTCTTCCCTCGCCTGAGGTATAGTCACCTTCAGGTTAAACCACCATCAGTTGTCTCTTGCTAATGAGAGAGCAGCCCTATGGTCCAGTTGGACTATGACAACATTATATATGTAAATATACATGTACACCATTGAGAGAACACAGTAATCACAAGTTAAATATATTATAGCCATTTCAAAACCAATTTGTTTTTGGTTTTGTTTTGTCTTGTTGTACTTTGTGCACGTGAATCTTTATGCTAATTATTCTGCGTTGGTTTATATTTTATTCTAACACCAGTGATCCAAAAAAAGGAATATAGATAATGTCGTGTATGACAGATGCTCACTGTCCACCCATCTGCAAACTGACATTTTTAGACAAGGTGAATGAAAAGTTCACCTTAGTAGATGATTTGTACAAGTAGAGGCTTAGCTTTGAAAATGATGCTGGAGTAGAAAATTCGAGTGGCAGAATAGCAATGGCATTACTATTATAAGAGACAGTTTGACTCATTACAAATTTTTATGTCACTTCAGAAGCATCTAGTTGTAGTATTTCATGCTTTCAGAGGCACTGAATGGAAAAGAGTGCTAAGGTAGTAAACTTTAACTATTTGTCTTCCCACAGAAAACAGTTCAGGCCAAAACATTAAATATTTTCAAGAAGGGGTTTAATATCTTCTTGGGCTAAAGGGTTCAAAGGGTATGGGGAGAAAGCAGGAACAAGGTGCTGAGTTGGATAATCAGCTGTGATCATATTAAATGGCAGAGCAGGCTCAGAGGCCTGCATGGCTTTAGATAGCACCCACATTTATACTAACTTTCATTTAACGTTATGCTAATTGGTCGATGTCCAAAAACTGGAAGCCCCACTTCCAGTTCAATTTATCATCACCTCATTGTCTTCAACCAGCAGTCTGAATCTAATTTATGCCAAAAGTCAAAAATAAGCCATTCCACACATCCCTGAAAAAATCACTTACGATCGAGTTGATAATGTGATTTTATGAAAACACCATCACTCTTTACCTGCTACAGGTGGACAAACTGGCAAATTTGTACAACATCCATCTTCGCACTGGCTGTTTTTGTAACACTGGAGGCTGTCAACAACACCTCGGAATCAGTAACGAAGATGTCAAAAAGAATCTAAAGGTTAGTATTAACTGTGTCAGAATTTTGTATTTTATGTCCCAGTGTTTTGCTGTTCGTCTAAAAAGAAAAATTATAATTATAATACAGGATGAAAATTTTTGCAACTCTTAATCTCAGCACAACAGAAGTTAATTTTTCTCCAACAGGAAGTTTGCAAAGCTGCTAAACCAGCCTTTTTTCCTTTCGACGAGTTCATTGTTCATATTATGCACTAATTCTGATTTCAAAAGAGCCTTGAACAAAAACCTAACTGAAGGACGTTTACAATCTGGGCTAGAAACAGAGAATTTTTACATAATTCTATTCTAGCTCATTCAAATATGAGCATCTTAAGTTAGTAATTTCCTGATCTTTTACTTATGGATGCCAGCATGCATGAGACATGAAGTGTTGTATAATTAGCCAGTAGATCCATAATACCGTAATCCATAATGGTTAATGTATTTTTCATATTTATTTTATTTTCATTCAAGTGTATGTGATTTTTCTTTTGCCTATCTCTCAACAAACTAATACACAAGACAAAAAGATGTAGCAAAGATTATGATCTGAGCATAAACAAAGCTTATCACATTGGTCAATATTCTGTGCTACAATAAATAGCAGGATTGCACCAGTCAGCAGTCACTAATTCCACCAATTTAAATAAATCTTGCCAGCCTCATGTTATTGCTTAAAAGTGATCTGGGATGTTATTCTTCATTGAAGCATCTTCCATTGCCTATCTGAATCAAAAATTAGGGAATGTGTAAGAATACCATTGATGAATTTGACCTTTAAAAGGCCTTGCAGATTTCAAAAGTAATTTGTTGGGTCCATCAGATGTGGTAACCAGCAAGTCTTCGTTTGCTGTGACTGTAGAAAGTTTCTTAATGTTGCATACACGCTAACATGAGGTAGCTAGTGTCCTGAACGCTTCTTTTTTTCATTCTTGGAATGCAGACACCACTAGCTAGGCCAACATCTATCGCCCATCCCTAACTGCCCTTGGGTATCTGGTGCTGAGCCACCGCCTAGACTCCCTGCAGTCCATGTAATGTAGGTACTGTACATGCATTGTGCTGTTAGGAAGGAAATTCCAGGATTTTTCATTGCATGACACTGAAAAAATAGTGATATAATTCCCAGTCTGGATGGTTTGTAACTTGAAAGGGAATTTATTGGTGACTGTGCTTCCATGCACCTGCTGGCCTTGATTTTCACGATGGTAGAGATTGTGAAGTGGTAGGTGCCACCAGTAGAATCTTGGTGAGTTATGGCTAGTGTCTACTGCTGCCACTGTGCACTGCTGGTGAAGGGAGTGAATATTTAAGATCGGGGCTGATCAGTCAGGTTACTTTGTTTTAGCTGGAGTGGATGGAGTTTCTTGACTGTTGTTGGAGCATACCCACTCAGGCAAATGGAGAGTATTCCATCACATTTTGGATTTGTGCCTTATAGATCTTGGACAGGCTGCATAGAATGTTAAATATTCTCATTTCTTTCCAATAGGCAGGTCATGTCTGTGGAGATTCTTTGGATTTGATTGACGGCCGCCCCACTGGATCAGTCCGAATATCCTTTGGCTACATGTCCACATTTGATGATGCACAAAAATTTTTGAAGTTTATTCTTGGTTGTTTTGTTAAGCAGCCAGTTTGCTTTGACAAAGACACCTTGTCCAAGCTTGAAAGGTGTGGAACAATGAGAGAACGTGACGAATCACAGGCAGAACATCTAACGGATGAAGAAACAACTAAAATCTCTTCAGAAATTGCTGCAGCACAAAATTCTGCCAGGATTGAGATTCCCCTATCTCAGAACTGTTCAGATAATCAGCTCGAGTTGGTAGAAAACGGAGAAACTTCCAAATTAATCAAGGGCAGTGAGTCAATCACACTCACCAACATCTACTTATACCCAATCAAGTCTTGTGCTGCTGTTGAGGTGAGTGTGGAATTTTCTTTTACTCTTGCAAATGTTTTAGTATTATGAAGTTCTTTATTGCCATTCATGCCGTTGTTTTAATGATAATTATGATTCAATACGGACATAAACAATTCACCGATAAGAATCATTCATAGTTTTGTTACCCTAGGAATCTCATTGAACCATTTACTTAAATGACCACCCTTTCATATTCGTTCCATTTTTATCTTTCCATTATGACGGCCCTCTAAATCTCCACAATTGGCAACAACAAAATGACATTTTTACGAGCAGTCGGATGTCTTCTACTCACTACTGTACTACATTCTGATTTTCTACACTCTGCAGCTATTGAGCGTTGTGAACTGTAAACTGAATGGCTGAGAATTATGTAAGTGAGCTCGCCTTCATTATGAAGAACAGTTAGTTTATTTGTGCAGAATCAGGAATCCTTCTCTAGTGGAAGTCATCTTACAAAAACTTAATCTTGTAATTGTAAGTGTTGGTACAAATCAAATGCACAAATATAGTAGTAAAGAATGGATTCTCCCATTAATTCTCTTTTAAATTTAAAGCAAGAGTTTACAAAGTTTTATTGCTGGAGTTGAGAAGATGAATTCTGAGAAATAACTTTTTGAAATTGAAGGGAAAGGCGATAAAAAGTGAGTGCAGCAGAGAGAATGTTAACAGATCATTCAAGATTACATTTTAGCCGCAACCCCAACCCCAACCCGGAATACAGATGGTACATTTGGTGGCTTCTTTATCTGTCACATAACACAATGCCACTAGGGAAAGAAATGGAAGAGAAAGGGAAAGAAATGGAAGAGAAAGAGAAAAATGAAAAACAAATCAGTGAGAGAAAAAAAGACACAAACACAAGAGAAATGGTAACAAAAGACAAAGGACAGAGAGAGAAAGGCTGTTTTGTGTGATTTACAACATACAGTACTGCTGGAGATTAATAAGTGTATGTTATATATTTACATTGTTCATCATTTTCCATAAGTGTACTAAGTGTTGCAACAAGACTATAATGTGAAGTTGCACTAATTTTAACATTATGGTGGATAAATGGTGACAAAGGATTTGCAGAAGTCATTTAGCTTGGAAAAGATTATACAGCGCCATTCATTTTTCAGACAATATATACGCAGCATGACAAATTTGCATATGTGGTTTCCAGTATTAATGTGGATTTAGGATTATATTATTAGGCAAATATGATCAAATGTTTTTGGAAAACAGTGATCTGGGTAAAATTTAGTATCTTAAAAGTACTTTTTATGTTAGACTCTTATTGAGATACTGATATTCATAGAATCCCTACAGTGTGGAAGCAGGCCATTTGCCCATCGCTTCCGCATTGACCCTCCAAAGAGCATCCCACCCAGACCGAGCCCCTACCCTATCCCTGTAACCCTGCATTCCTCATGGCTAATCCACTAAACCTACACATGCCTGGAAACTGTGAGCAATTTAGCATGGCCAATCCAACTAACCTGCACATCTTTGGACTGTGGGAGGAAACCGGAACACTCAGAGGAAACCCACACAGTCAGAGAGACTGTGCAAACTCCACACAGATATTCGCCCAAGAGTGGAATTGAACTCAGGATCCTGGACCTGTGAAACAGCAGTGTTGACCACTGACCCACCATGCCACCCCAAATTGACATTAATGCACTCTGTGGTTCATGTAGGATATACCACAGAGAGTTGCGTTTTTGTTGGGACAGATGCCTTGAGGTTTATTAACAGGCTTCGTATGTACCGAGACATGGTACTGGAGGGCTGCAGGAGTGGGAAACCATCTTCTGCATGTGGCTGTGAAGGTTACTGCTGCACTAAACAGCTTTGCTACTGGCTCCTTCTAGGTTGCAACAGGTGACCTGTTTAGGATATTCAATCATGCATCCACAAATGGATCAGGACAGTGACCAATATGATCTGTGCAAGTCGCACCGGTTTATTTCATTCCCCAATGATGAAGGCGGTGCTGCAGTGTGGAGGTAGGATTTGAAAACATAGCCGTGTGCCCCCAGATACAGGCTGCTTCTGACTGTACAAGCATGGCACCGAGACAGCCGTATCACAATGCTGTGGAATTCATCAACAGGAAAGAGTTAGGGTTGATTACGTTTGATTAATGTTCAGGTGATCTGTGATCAATGTTACCACTTCTTGGAAGTGTGTTCCCCGGACTCTGGCAGTTGCCATAAGTCCTACAGCCTGGAGCACTGTCGTGTACCTGGTGCATTTGAGGATCCGGGTGCCAAATGAAGCTGATTACTGGGGTCAAGGGGTACCCATGGTGAACATTGCTGATGACATCATAGCACAATCCCCTGATTGATGTGCAGTGCAGGTTTAATGCCAACCGTACCTCCATCAGGAGGAGCAGAGTATAGCACTGTTGAAGATGCAGTTCTGCTGCTTGGACCACGTTAGTGGGGACAGAATGTTCCATATTATCCTGGCAAGTTGTGCTCTGCACGATTGAAGCAGGGATTGAGGACAGGTCCCAGATACTGAAGAACTGGGAGAATGGTGCAGTCTTCCAAGGAGGAGGAGAACAAGGACACTGAGGAGGAGAAAGCTGTCATTGTCCATGACAGAGCTCAGCTGCATCATGCTCTACAAGCCAGATAAAAGATCATTGAAACTCCCTTCCAGTAGATGAGAGCTGGATGTTGCAGGCAATCATGAACTGTAAATTAACCTTTGATCATGATACACAAATCTGGTTGGCATTGTCAGGGCAAACTTCAGCCTCCGTTAATTTTGTTCATCTTCCCTTTTCATTCTGTAAATAGAAGCTCATGTTTGGAATTGTTCAATTGCTTGCTGGCATATGATATACCCTACTGGACCATGAGAAGATGTGGGTCTGCAGTAGATTAAAGACAGAAAAAACTGGAGATTCTGGAATCCAAGGTGGACAAACAGGAGGTGGGAAAAACACAGCAAGCCTGACATCATCTGGAGGAAAGGAGAAGTCAACGTTTCACATGTTGCCCTTCTTCAGGACTGGATGTGGTGGTGGGGGAGAGTTCCAGATAAAGGGGGTATAGCAGAATGGTAGTGATAAGTGATTGATCGATGGGAGGAGGGATGAATCCGATTGGTAGCTGGAAGGGAGTGACAGTAGGTGGAATGGAAGGGAGGCATTGGGGTTGGAAAGGGAACCGGGGGATCATTGGGAAGGTTATTTGAAATTAGAGAACTCAATGTTGAGTCCTCCGGGCACTAGGGTGCCCAGGAAGAAGATAAGGTATTGACGTCAAATTTGCATTCTGAGTTGCTATGACACTGGAGGAAGCTGAGGACAGACATGTTGGGGGTGAAGGGCGGAAATTGAAATGGCAGTGACTGGGAGGTTAAGCTGGCTGTTACAGACCAGGCGAAGATGCTCGGTGAGGTGGCTACCAAGTGTGACACAAACTAAGGGATGGCGAAGGGAATGGTCCTTGCGGAAGGCAGAAAGGGATGGGGAGTGGAAGGTGTTCTGGGTGACGGGGTCTAATTTGAGTTGGCGGAAGTGTTTGAGGATGATATGTTGGATGCGGAGGCTGATGGAGTGGAAAGTAAGGACAAGGAGGACCCTATCTTTATTATGTTTAGAGGCGGGGGAGTGGTTTAGAGCTATGGAGCAGGGAATGGAAGATGCATGGTGGAGGGCTGTCTGGATGACAGAGGGGTGAAAAGAACGTTGTTTGAAAAAGGAGGATATCCGGTTTTGCTTGGGAGTGGAACATCTCCTCGTCGGAGCAGATGTGACAGAGAGGAGGAATTGGGAAAACGGGATGGAGTTTTTTCAGGATACAGGGTGGAGGGAGGTGTAGTCTAGGTAGCTACAGAAGATTATAGTAAATGTGGGATTTTAGTAAATGTTGGTTTGTAAACAGTTGCCTGAAATGGAAACGGAGAGGTCAAGAAAGGAGAGGGAGGTGACTGAGATAGACCAAGTGATTTTGAGGGCAGGGTGGAAGTTTTTAGCGAAGTCGATGAACTGCTGTAGTTCAGCCTGGGTGCAGGATGCAGCACTGATGCAGTCATCATTGTAACCGTGGAAGAGTTGGGGAACAGTACTGGTGTATGTACTGAACAGGGACTGTTCGACATAACCAGCAAAGAGGCAGGCACAGCTGGGGCCTATCCGAGTGCACATGGCAACCCCCTGGATGTGGAGAAAGTGGGAAGAACTGAAGGAAAAGTTATTGAGGGTGAGGGCTAGTTTGGCAAGGCAGAGGAGGGTATTGGTGGCGGGGGGCGGCAGGGGGTGGGTGTGGGGGGTGGCGCCTGGATGGGTCTGTTGGAGAGAAAAATACTGAGGGCCTGTAGGTTGCCCTTGTGTGGTATGGACGTGTATAGGGATTGCATGTCCATAGTAAAAATGAAGCACTGGGGTCCAGGGAACTGGAAGTTTCCAAAGAGGTGATTTATGTCCTGGATGTAGGTGGAGAGTGCCTGGACCAAGGAGGACAGAATGGAGCCTCTGCATCCAACGTATTATTCTCAAATGCTTCCACCAACTCCAATTAGACCCCACCACCCAAAGCATTCTCCATTCCCCACCTCTCTCTGCCTTCCACAAGGACCATTCCCTTCGCCACTCCTTAGTTCATGCCACACTCCCCACCAGCCACTCCAAATCCCCTGGTACCTTGCCCTGAAAAGATGCAACACCTGTCCACATACCACCTCCCTCACCTCCATTCAAGGCTCTAAACAGTTCTTCCAGGTGAGACAGAGCTTCACCTGCATATCCTCCAACCTAGTCTACTGCATCCGGTGCTCCCGACGTGGTCTTCTCTACATCGGTGAGACCAAACGGAGACTAGGTAACCATTTCGCCAAGCATCTTCCCCTGGCCTGTAATGGCCAACCTAATCTCCTGGTCTCTGCCCATTTCAACTCTCCCCTCACCTCCTCCAACCGAGTCTACTGTATTCAATGCTCCCGATGTGGTCTTCTCTGCATCGGTGAGACCAAATGTAGCCTAGGTGACTGTTTCA